TCCACGCACATTTCGGTCTCTTCAAGGGCATTGGGAGGATATCAAGCCTATGTGCAGCCGTTGGGCAGCTTGCTTGGAGCAAGTACGCAATGCACCTCCAATTTGCACCATGGAGTCTGACTATGTGAGTTTGTTTTTCCTTTGTTCAAGTTGTGCATCATCATAACGTATCATGGGAAATGATTGCATCACTTTGTTCACATTTTGTAGGACAAGATTGCTCAACATAGATACAAGGACATGGAAGCTTCGGAAGGCAGATTCTTCAAATTAGAGCATTGTTGGGAGTTGCTCCAAAAGTGCGAGAAGTGGAAGTTGATCGACAAAGAATCCCCACCAAAGAGAGGCTCACTTGTAAACATGGACGAAGATGAGGATGATGATGGCCCAAGAAATTTGCACAAGCCCGATGGCGACAAGAAGACTAAAGAGAAGATGAAGAGAGAGCAAGAAGCATCGAGCTTGAGGGAGAAGATTGATGCCATGGTGCAATCAAATGAGTTGATGTTGTTGAAGTCATTGGAGATCAAAAAAGAGTTGGCCGAGAAGAAGGCAAAAGAGAAGCAAGAAAAATGGCAAATGCTCAAGGAAGAGGGGCTCCGCAAAGCTGCCATTGAGGAGGGAAAAGCATGCGCCTCTGAAAACAAATCGATGTCATTGTTGCTCGCCGAAGAGAACAAGATCATGTCAATGAACCGCAATGACATGGACGACCTCACCAAAACATGGCATGATATGGCAAGGAGAGAGATCTTGAAGAGGAGAATGGTCGCCTCGGCCGGTCCGTGTTCCATTTCCGGTGATGTTTTCTCTGCTCCATATGGTGGCAATGTGGATGATTTCGGTGCCGGAGTTGGAACAAGCGACGGAGGTGGATTCGGTGGCGCCAATGAACTTCAATATGGACTCCATGGCGCGGAGTGAAGATCGACCCCCAAGATGATGCCGGACATGGGCGCAAACCTTTGCATGCCCTCTTTTGCGTAATGAACTTCACTTTTATTTGCGCGCAGACTGTTTATGTCGTTTGAATTTGAACTTGTTTGCCAAACCCTATGTCAAATGCGAGATTTGCAGTTTACCTGTTTGCGGGTCGCGTGGTGGTGCCCAAGCAGAACCCGCAGAAGCCGACCCGTAAAAAAGTATATTTCACTAATATACTTTTTTACGAATCCGTTTGGGGGGTCTGCATCTGTGCCAGCCCGCGCCAGCCCGCAAAAGTGGTTTTGCGCGAACTACAAACGCGTTTTGCGGGACGACGGGATGCGGGGTCTGCTAGAGTTGCTCTCACCCAACCCCCTCGTCCCTCCCATCTTTACTATTTTTTGCTGCAAAAGAGATCGAGATGAGTTCCCATGGTGGTTGCGCCGCGTCGACGGTGGGCTGCATCGACGACGACTACGTCATGCAACTTCGTGGTGCTACAACCCGCGGTTACAAATGCTGGAACCGTGGCTTCCAGATGCTGGAACCATGGCGGCGAATGCTGGAAGTTCGCATCTGCAAGTGGTGACCACGCAAGATGCGGGGTGCTACAACCGGTTTGCCGGATGCTGGAACCACAGCGCCCTTTTGCTGCAATCCTGGCATCGGTAATTTGCTGCCCGACATGCGATGTGCTGGATCTCGACGAGCCCTCGCCGACGGCAACCTTTTTTTGTTGGAACCAGTGTGTGTTTTTGCTGGAACTAGCTTTTTTTTTGCTACAACCGCCCATTGGGAGTTTTCCTGCTGACTTTGTTTTGCTGGAGCCAGCTTTAGTTTTTGCTGGAACCTAGTAATTTTTTGCTTCAACCGACAATGAAAGATTTTTGTTGCTTGGCGCTCCGACCTGCGGCAAACCATGGTTAACGCGGGCTGGAACCGGCCGGTGTCCGAGATGCAACCATGGCGAGCGCTGCTCTGTTTTGTACTGCATTCGGCGATGAACGGCGACGACGATGAATTTTTGCTGCAACTGCCTTCTCTTTTGCTATGACTGTTTTTTTCCTTTTGCTACATCACATTCGCATAAACTCACTCGTTGACGGCGAGGGATGGCGGGCGGTGCACCGTAGGGCTGCAACCATGGAGCATCAGCGACCTGAGTTGCAATCGGTCAATGGGGAAGTTTTGAACAGGGGGTCATCAACGGGATCTCCAATTGAAATCGATGATGACTGGAGGTTCTTCAGTGAGCACCGTCATTGGAGACGACAGGTGGCCCTGCCGTCGTGAGCGGGGCGCCATGGACGACGGCCTTTTTTGGTTCCTTCGACGAGTAGGGCGCCATGAACGCCTGCGCTGGCACCACGTTCTCATTTTTGTATACAGGGACGGGGGAGGAAGATGATGATGTGGAGCATCGAATGGCTGCTGCACGCTGGATCGTACGGCTGCGTGCAGACCGGCCCAAAATTTGGACCGGTGCACCGGCGCGTAGTACTGCCCAAGAAAAACCCAAGCACTGAAGCATTCACCGATCCACCAGCGCACGACCTAACTCCTGTCCTCTGCATGCACACACCAGGTGCTCCAAGCCTCCAACGTGGTGCCGCCGGTCCCAGCCGTCGTGCTACAGCTAGTGCCGCCGTTGATGGCCGCGCCATTCCCTGCCTGCCAGGTTTCCTCGTTGCTTGCTAATTTTATTAGATAATGCCATGAGAAGATATTAGAGCCGGTGTTTTGCTCTAGGTTTTAACTAAAGTACTCCGCCACTGGCACACAGGCACGCAACAGGACACACACGTACATACACATGCACTGCAAACACACACGCACGCGCGCGCACACACAGAGCAATAGCACACGGGTACACGTACACACATGCGCGCACACACACCGAGCAATAGCACACGGGTACACGTACACACACGCGCGCAACATCACACACGCGTGCACACAAACATACCACATAAGGGCAAAAGAGTCTTTTCAGGTGTCATTTAGGCTTGAAATGGATAAAAATATTATAAAAGGCATAAAATTTAAACTCGTTGTTAGATAGGAAAGAAATTATTTGTCGATGTCAAATAGGGCATAAAATTTAGACACGGTGTTAAATAAGGAATTCTCTCTCAGATATATGTGATCTGATTAGATAAGAAAATATATGTGATTTGGTAAGATAAGAAAAAAGATATGTTATTTTTGTTGTATTAGAAAAATTGTGATTGTCATTTAATAGTAGAGATAATGATAACAACAAATGTAAGCACATTGATGCGGTGTTAAATAAGGCATAAAATTATTTGTCGATGTCAAATAGGGCATCAAATTTAGACACGGTGTTAAATAAGGAATTCTCTCTAAGATATATGTGATCTGATTAGATAAGAAAATATATGTGATTTGGTAAGATAAGAAAAAAGATATGTTATTTTTGTTGTGTTAGAAAAGTTGTGATTGTCATTTAATAGTAGAGATAATGACAACAAATGTAAGCACATTGAAGAATATCTTATTTTGTTTTGAAAGGTTATTGAGAAAAATCTTATGTCTGTATTTTAGCAAGGTGGTCTCACATACATGGTGTGAATTCTAAATTCTTAATTACACGATTGAATTGAATCAACACCTGCCAAAGCAAGCACGAAACAAGATCTCCCTATTTAATGTGATTTGACTTTTTAATGGGAGGGAGATAATAAACCAGTGGGAGGGGGTGGTGGGAGGCGAGGCGAAAAACCAGATGAAAGTAAACAGGTGAGGAGAAGCTACCAACTCCCCTTCTAGGAGTAGAGACATGTGTAATTTGATAGATAAGAAAAAACATATGTTATTTTTGTTGTATTAGAGTAGTCGTGATAATCATTTCAATACTAGGGATAATGATAACAATATATGGAAGCATGTTAAGGAATATCCTATTTTGTTTTGGCATGTTATCGAGAAAAATCTTATTTTTGTTTTCTATGAAGGTGATTTCTCATATATGTTGCGAATTTTGAATTCTTAATTACGTGATTGAATTGAATAAGCACCTACCAAAACAAGCACGTAAGAAGGTCTTACCCTTTCATGTGATTTGATTTTTAATGGGAGGGAGAAAATAAACCAATGAGAGGGAGTGGTGGGAGGTGAGGCAAAAAAAAAACAGACAAAAATAAATCGGTGAGGAGAAGCTATCAATGTTGTGCATGCCTTGTAATAATCCTACTTTTTTTTGTAGAAAAGGAGGAACCACCCCCGGCCTCTGCATCTGGGTGATGCATGCGGCCATATTATTTATTATTCACAAAGACTTTACAAAGTAATACAACAGTAAGCCCGAGGCCACCATCTAGACGACACGTGTCGCTATTCCTATCCTCTTGATGAAGGGGTGCCGAATGTCCGGACCAAATACCAAACAGACATCGCACGAAAGCCTAACATCTAATGACGGATGCACCATCCAAGCCACATAGGCGTGACTGGGTAACACTCCGGTCCGGCGCACTCTCAGTGAGTACCACACGCACACGCTGCAAAGGGCCGCCACCACCGTCTTCCCTCGATCCATCCTCAAAGCATGTACTGAAGCATCGACCTTGTCAGGCCTCTCTATCATCGACGCCACCACGATCGAGAAGCCCTTTAAGAGTAGAGATAGATATCTTGCGTATATTCTAATCGATCTTGTAATAATCCTACTATTGCTCCGTTGGGAAACCGGGAGAAGATCAGGTGCTCCGGAGGATGCTCCTCTTCCCATGCTCTGATGTGAAGTCGGCCGCTGGATCTCAGATTAAATGGGCAAAATTAGTCAATGTGAGTTTTGCAGAAAATCCTTCGAACATCCCAGAGATAATGCTTTGGTCCAACATCCCGGTAATGCTGGTCATTGGATCATAGATATACGGCTGAGGTCGCATCGGAGCACCTAAGCTGCAATGTCAATTTTCATGAACACATCATTTTTCAGGGTCAGCTTTGACCTATAAATAGGCCTGCAACACATCAAGTTTCCTTCACCCATCTTCGACCAATTCCCTCCTCCACTCTCTCGAGCTCAGTATTAGTTTCGAGAGCTAGCAACCATGGCTGGTAGTGACCAGAAGCTTGCCACCTTGGCTCTGCTGCTAGCATTGCTTGGTTGTGTGGCGCACACGTGCGAAGCGAGCTACGGGTTTCCCAATCCGTTGCTCCGTTTGTCCAAGTTTCTTCCTCCTCCTGCCCCGTCGCTCACCTACGGTCACTACCCCAAGGTCAAGAATACTTGCTATGGAGCGGAGACAATCGTGAGTGACATTGTAAAGGAGGAGGTGAACCGCGACCGCGGCATCGGCGCCGGGCTCATTCGCCTCTTGTTCCACGACTGCTTCGTCCAGGTATGCATATGTCCAGAGTTACATACACTGCACACATGTCGATCTCTGGCATGCATGTTTGCCATTTGATCATGTGAACAATTCATGCATTTCCATGCCAGGGTTGCGATGGGTCGGTCCTCCTTGACGTTAGCACCACGCCCAACGAGCCGACCGAGAAGGACGGCATCCCCAACAGGAGCAGCCTCCGCGGCTTCGAGGTGATCGACAGGATCAAGGACGCGCTCGAGGCCACGCCCGGGTGCAAGCGTGTCGTCTCGTGCGCAGACATCGTCGCCTTTGCTGCGCGTGACGCCACCTACTTCCTCAGCAACGAGACGATGTACTTCCATATGCCGTCAGGCCGCTACGACGGGAATGTGTCCCTCGCTAGCGAGACCCTCCCTAACCTGCCCCCTCCCTTCGCCAACATCATGATGCTCGAGGCTTTGTTCGCAAACAAGGGCCTCAGCCTCGACGACATGGTCACCCTCTCCGGCGCACACTCCGTTGGCATCTCCCACTGCTCGTCCTTCCGTGACCGCCTGCCGCCCAACCCTTCTTCAGACCCCACGGCCATGAACTCTACGTTGGCCAACTTGGTGACAAGTAAGTGCAGCAGAGGCGACAACCCTACGGTCGATCAGGACATCTACACCCCTGGATACTTGGACAACCAATACTACAAGAACGTGATTAACCATGAAGTGTTGTTGAAATCAGATGCCGCGCTCGAGTCGCCCAAGACAATTGAATCCGTGAAGCAAAATGCTAAGTTCTCTGTGGACTGGGAGCAAAAGTTTGGGGAAACCATGGTGAAGATGGGCAACATCGACGTGAAGACCAGCAAGAATGGGGAGATCAGACACAAGTGCCGGTCCATCAACAAGAACTACTCCTAAGTGACTAGAAACCGACCAGAGTTGTGTGTTATTATCGACTTTCCATTATTGTTCTTCATTTAATTATTATTTTGCACTAAGGTTGTGTAACTCGTTTTCTCATTACATTTAAATTTACTGAAATTGTTATCAGTTGTGCACTTTTAAATTTATAATTAGTTAATTATATTAATCGGCATGGCTTTGTTTTAAAGGCGCTCGTCACTGTTCCCCGTAAAGCACATTTTTTGTCACACCCCTTTACTCCTGGAAAAAGTAAGGCCGCCGTACGATCTATCGCTGAAGTTCTTTATAAGAACTGTAGCATGAATCCGTCTGAAGTTATTCGGCTAATTGGGTGCCGACTGAGATCTAACGACTAGGAACGTAGTACCTAGTCAGGTGAAGTGGGTTTTGACCGGATAGCCCAGATCGGTCACCTCCTCCTTTATTCGATGTCGCTCCACGTGACCG